CTACCTCACGTGATTCAGATATCCGATCCAGCGTGACCTGCAAGGTTGCTGGCAGAGAATGACTCTTCCTTCCAGAGGACAGACACAATTGGACATCAATTGTGGGTTCACTATAGCGGTCATACATCAGTAAAAACAGGGGAAATCCCGTGGAGGTACGAGGGGCCATCCTATATGCTGCCTGGACCTCAGGGATGTGTTGGTCCCAATTTGCCTGCCCTGCATCGACTGCTTGGCAAAGCATTGATGTTAGGGTTTTGTGAAGGCATTCTACCATGCAGTCTATCTGAGGATAGTAAGGCGACGTCCGAATCTTCTTTGTGCCTAGCACGTCACACACTTCACGTAACAACTTCAATGAGAAGTTCTTGCCTGGGTCCATAAGGAGCTGCTCGACAGCATCTGAATACAACCCTGGTTAGTAAAAAAAATTGTAAGGGCATCCTGCTCAAAAAAACTGTGCACAAGAGGTAGGGCACAGCCAGTGTTTTTGAAAGCAACACCGGCCCTGACATCTCAATCTCCTCCAATCTGATGCGTGCTTCTATTTGTGCTACAATTCCCATACTTCCCCCATTTGCAACACGCATTCACCACCAGCATCACACGACGATTTTTAAAGGGTAACGTTTAAAAAATAACCTCAGATATGATAGTAGCCGAGGCACCTGTGTCAACCAACACACGAACTTCCACTCCTTGTACAAACCTTACTATTACCAATGAGCCAGCCGTCGCTGCTACTACTCGGCGTGCCAGCTTTCGCCACTGCGTTCTCGAGTTTGGCAACCCCTTTGTCGGCCATGCTAGCTGGCAGTCCACCCTGACCAGAGAATGGGAGATGGAAATGGTCTCTGCGAGACCACGTAGCCCCGATGCGTGATATTCTTCCAGCGGCCGGTTGTTAGGTGCATCGTGACTTGCCTGGGGGGGGCTGGGATGTGGTGGTCGACGAGGCGTTGGATGTGCGGGACTCTGTCGATGTCTGAGTGATGATTTGGCATCCCCACACGAAGTGTCCAAGCTGGCCACAACGGAAGCATGCAGTCCTGGGCGCTCGCAGCAATGGCGCTGCCTCGACCGGGATCGCCACTCCCGGTTCCGTCGCGGCATCTCTCCTTGCCGCCGCTCCCATCAATGAACCGCTGCCGTCACCTCCCCCGTAGATTCGGCGCCATCCTCCGTCAGCTCCTCTATGCCCCGTGATGGTCCGCTGTTCGATCCATCTCCAGTCCACGGCTTCCCAGTCCATGCAGCCACCCAAGTCCGTTTTCGCAGGTTTCTTGCACTTGCAGACACCTGGCGGCCCACAAGGATGTCTAAGTGTCTTCGTCGATCACCGGTAGCATGACTCCCATTTCAGAAGCCACTTAAAACATTTTCTCCATTATAAGGGGGTCGAGCGCTGCTTGATACAACTGCGGGTAGGCCACCAACCCCAATGCAATCAGCGCGCCTCGTGTAGTTGGTCCAGTGTGACCTGCAAGGACACCGGCTAACCTGACACGTTTTTGGGAGTCTTTCCCAGCTGTGTTTCTATGGGAGGTTCATGCTCCCTGCCATACATTATGTAAAAAGAGAAAACCCCGTGGAGGTACGTGGCACCAGTCTATATGCTGCCAAAACCCCCGGGATGTGGAGATCCCAGTCAATGTGTGTCTAATCTATGACTTGGCAGAGCATTAGCATTAAGGTCCTGTTCAGCCATTCCACCATACTGTTTAAGGGTGGTATGGGGAAGTGCGCGCCTTTTTATTTCCATGGTGCCCGACATACCCCCTTTAGAAGTTTTGACGAAAAAATTGTCCCTGGTCATTGAGGATCTGCTCAAGAGGACCGTTGTCCATCACATATCTGTGAAGGAATTCATCAGCAATTGATGCTGTGGTTTGGTCAGGCAGCGGCCATGCCATTGGCCACCTTGTGAGATATTCCATCCCCATCAGAAGAGATATTCCCCCTTGATGAGCATGAGATTGGCCGGATGATAGAGGGCGACCAATTCGTTGACTCTAGAGACAACAATCGGCTGTAAGGGTGGCTGTGACCTATGTACAGGTGGTTTCTGATGATGTCCGGGCTCTCGTCCACTCGAGCCATCACCTGGGTCTTCCGGCTGATGTCCTCCTAAGCCTTAAGTCACCAGGCCACCCACAATAAAGTCTGTGCCTCCGAGTCCAATATAGGGAGCACCATGGCCATCTCTTGGACCAATGCCAGCATTTTCTCCATCACCAGGGAGTCCAGTGCCGCTACGTCCAGCTGAGGGTAAGCTGATTGCTCGAGCAATCTGGTACATGAGGAGCGACTCGGCTTCCTCCTGCCTGCGCCGATGAAATTTCCACTTGATGGTGAGTTAAAGACCTCTGCCACCTCAAGACCGGCTGATTTATGCGTGATTCTCCATTCCATCAGTATCGCCTTGAAGATGGTGAGGGCCTCGTTGGCAAGGCCTTCAGTGCTTTGGCCTCCGACCAGTTCAAGGTCTGATACGTGGCTTAAAATTGGCGGACGAAGGCCCCCATTCGACGCCCGCCACCACAAACTTTTTCACCGGCCCCAGCCGGCGAGGTCAGTTGGCCACTCTCTCCCATGCTGCCACGGCTGTTTCTTGAACCACGGCTGCACTGAGTGTTGCCAGTTCCTCAGTTTCGACCACCGATGGCGAGACAGTTATAACCGCCGGTTCCGTGGTTCCAACCACCAATTCCATAGTTTCTGCCACCATTTCCACCACTCCCGGCCTCTCCATCCCGGCGAGCTTTGTCACCAGCTGGGAGAACGTACCTGCAAGTCAATTGATCCACCCCTCCAGCCTCTCCCAGCTGCTGGTCACCAGCGGCATCAGAGCGAGCAGACTCTCTGGCCGCTGCTGCTGCATCTCTCGCTCGACCAGCGCGTTCATCGCCTCTCCTGTGGTCTCGAGGTTGGTCTCTGGGTGCTCGTCTCCTGGGACGTTCTGAAGGCTGACCCCCTCATTATCGTACGTCGTCGGTGGGTTTCTTCATCGGCTTGAGTGTGACATTCTTGAGGTAGACCACTTATGACACCAGTTGTAATGACGCCAACACACATGTGCTTGGAGCCTCTTTAATTCGTGACACAGCACCAACTCTAGCCCTGGCTTCTTCCTGTAGCTTTAAGCTCATACGCTCTGCCGAAACCTCCCCTCCCCTTGTGCTCTCCCCTTTCATCCCTATCATGCCCCTCCTCTCGAAATTTCCCTCACTGTCGATTTTCCATCCTATCCCCATCCTTCTCCCTTAACGATCTCAACCGTCGCCTCAACTCTAAACCTCTGCTTGTCAGTTTGAACCTCTCCTCCAATCCCTTCAAACCTTGCCTTCTGACCAACCATCATAGTGACCTCTCTGCACCAATAGTAGGCCTTGGTCTACTTCCTGTAAGTCTGTTTGGCTGCGCATTTGCTTGTGGTGATTGCTTCCTAATTTCTGTCATTACAGAAGTATGGTGCCTTTACCAACCAGTAATGGCCAGCGTGAAGTATGGTCACATGACCCACCGAACCTGGGGGAGGCTGTCATTCAGCAGTGAATTGACCAAAGGGATGTGCTCTGTATGCAAGCATAGCTATTCGTTATGCCGACGTCAATGTACTCATTAACGGCTAAGTTGACCTGGGGAAGGTGCAGAATCGCTTTAGACATTAATCGCTGATGTTGGATGCAGGTAGGTACTGTACTCAGGTGACCAGTTACGAGTGCACTGCGCCAACCACTATACCTTCCCTCTGCTCTAAAGTGACCCATGCAAACACAGGCATGCTGCATACATTGAGTAGAGGCGGACGGGAATGTGCTTAGCTTGCCACTCCCCCCATGACAACAATACAGTAATTCAGAACACTTGATGTTGGTACCATTCTGATTGCTCAAGGTTATCACAAAGGCGCAATGTTTCACAGACATTGCAGTGGTTTTACAGTCGTGCTGATGTTGCTCTTAGGAATAACAATCGAGTAATTTGCAGGTATTTTGGGGGGTATTGAGATATTTGATAAATACCAGTAAGTGTGTGTTTATACTCCCATTCTGACTTCCTCTCCGCTACCCTACAATTCACTCCACTATACACCTCTCACCCCATAAATACAGCTATAATATACATAGCTACATATGACTATACGTACAAAGATAACGATACACATGTATAGAAAATCACCCGGAATGCGCCAAGGTCTTTGAGGCAACCAGGATTGAGCCTGGATAGTGCTTGGATCTGCATCAACAATGACCCGTAGGCTTCTGCGGGCTACATTGCCAGCTGAGGGCAGTTCACCAAAGTCAATTATTGAACTGTGCTCTGCTCCAATATATCGCAGTCACCAACTTGCACTGATCACATTGAAGTATGGTCAGATAACCCCTACGGCATGCTTGGCGTGGAGCGGTCCTCATAGTGCTTGTAAGTGTACATACTGTGGGTAAGACAGTGTTCATGAGCTCCAGCAGCCTCAGGTTATTTTTCCCTACAGGACCTAAAAAGAACCTTCCAACGGCCATGAATACATCTCGCATGACACATGCACTGCACACATTTAAAACAGCGCAAATAAATAATCCAGAGTTTTATATAAAAAAAAAAATTGCCTGGTGACTTTTGATATTTGCTTAGAAAGCCAGAGTAAATGTGTTACTATGTGGAAACGTAGAATGGAGTCCTGCATATTTCTTCTTTATTGAAACAATAACTTGTTACTTCCTCTTTGGTTCTTTCAGTAAAGTCGCATAGGTAGAAAAAATACAAATAAAATGACAAATAATATATCACAACGTTTCGATCGCAACACAAGCAACCGATCGCAACACAAGCAACCGATGGCAACACAATCGATCGAAACGTCGTGATCTATTATTTTTTCTACCTACGTGATTTCACTGAAAGAACCAAAGAGTGTGGATTCTTGCAGTCACGAAAGCTTCAAATCAAACTTGTTACTTGTTTCATAAAGTGTATGTATGCATGATTAAAGCACTCACCAGCATAACGCAACCGATAACGACGATAAAGAGCAGCTGAGGTCCCATCCGGTCTCTGAGACAGCTTGAGTTGATCTGAGACGCCGGGACTTTATTCCCGTGGAGACTCGGGAGTCCGATCACTACCCCTGAGCAGCGCTACTCCTCAGCAGTTTAGAGAGAAAATATTATCGCGTGTTCTTCAAGACTGCCAGCCCATCACGTGAGCTGCACATACAGTATAAGTTAAAGAATTTGAAGCCAAACCGGTCGGAGGGGTTTTCATTTAGCAGCGCATGACCAAAAAACATTGCCTGAAAGAAAAGAGACAAGCAGACCAATGTGTCCTTCATTATTTTTCTGTAACACCCAAATGTCCGACAGACTCTTGGGAGTGCATCATTTCAGAAGCATTGATACAGTGCAAGCAAATTCCAGATAGGTTTTGATGTAACAGTCTCATCATCAGAATAAATATTGCTTGAATCAATGCTGGTGAACTGTCACGTGTAATAGGCAATTACCTATGTTTAAGATCTGGCTGTCGCCTGATGAAGCTAGTTGTAATTACTGGCGAAACTTCACACTCAGATTGTAAATGTTGTGGCTTGGCTCTCCAACACACTGGTGTGCTGTACTCGTGACGACTTGGCATGTTCCGTTTACGTACCAACCCTTACGAGTTGGCTGTGTCAGGTGGTGGCTGGTTTTAACAACACATTTATATATTTACGTGATCTAACCCAAAAAACCTCTTATGAATATGCTGTTTTCCCACCCGCGATTAGCCCTCATGGCTGCCAGTCGGCGTACTAACAATACATATGTATGTATGTTGAACTTATTTTGTTTAACTATTTGAGGTCTAGGCAGTCTCGATTACTTTGGAGATGATATACTGTACCCTAAGTTTGGCCCCAAAGAGCCTGAAACATGTAATGTGATTTATTTGCTTTCGTTCAGAGTGTACAATGGAATGCTAACTCGTGCTACACCTATTTGCACTGTAGCTGTTCAAGAGATAAGACGCTCAAATTTGGAAGTGACCCTTGTGCCAGTGTCTGCTGAATCATACCACTTCTAGTTGGTCGCATGTTTCTTAACCTTTTAGCTGGCTGTAAGTCCTCAACATAAACAAAGCACTAACATTACTTTTAGATATAGAATTATTATGTGATGATAAAGCGTTGGCAGTCATGCACAATCAAATATAGCAAACTCTAAACACATTCCTCAATAACAGTCAGAAATAGAAAAATCATAACTGGTGAAAATTTCAGGCCATGGTTCTTCTTCAGAGCATACACAAAATGGTTTAAGAATGTCAATTGATATAAACGTCATGCGTTGTATGTGTTGAGGAGTAGTGAGTGACGTCATGTCACGCTCGCCTCCGGTACGGTGACGGGATGTCCACCTGGGGTATTTAAGGGGGGACCCGTGACGTAAAGGGGTTCGTCGTGGGAGTCCGGGGAAGGTGAAGGTTGGGAGTTGGGACCCAGGGTAGGGGAAATATAACACGGGATCAAGCGTGGCTCCGTTCCCGACTGACAGAAGTTGGATCATCCCTCGGCCAGTGCAGTGGGAAGAGCCCAGATAGTCGGGGGGGGGGGGGGTGTTAGGGATTCCCAGTACCCTTCCCTGGGGGGAGAATAGAATAGCCCAGGAGTGTAGGAGTGAGCAGGAACAGTTAGACGTAAGCCTCCAAATAAACCTTGGTGTCAGCCCTTCTGAAGATCTGCCTCCGTGCCATAATTTGTACCGTAACATATGTATAGATGCATTTTCTTTTATGACAGTGTGATTTATGAATATGTTGAGTTGTTTGAAACATGATGATGAAGATGATTACAATTCGTAAAACATAGCATTGGCAGGGGAACACGTGCACAAACTGCAAAGATTATGTTTTATTTTCATTATTTTTTTCCCTTCTACATGACTTTACCGAAAGAACCAATAATATGAATCCCTGCAGTCACGAAAGCATAATTTGTATTGTTTTATTTTGATTAATGTATTATTTCCCTTCTACGTGACTTTACCGAAAGAACCAAGAATATGAAACTGCAAAAACTTCACCACCATCCTAATTAGCATCACTCAGCGGAACCCACCTGTGTGGAAGCCTTTTGGGAGCGGTGGGGGGGTGGTGGATCACGAATATTTGTGAAACTCAATAATATCTGAAGCTGCAAAGTAGCCAGATATTATACATCTGTCAGTTCTTTTCCAGTTGCTACGCTGGACATTGTGGTGGGTAGAACAAGGTAGAGCAGAAAAAACATGTAACTGCAATATGCATCTCTGTCTAGAGATCCCCCCTTTACCACCAACCCGTGTTGGCCAGCGTCGTGAAGGCCAAACAACACCACGAGACGCACGGCCTGTGGATGTTGTTTGCATTTTGACTACTTGTGTTGTGGTTATTGCAAACATGATCCCTTGTATAAAGGTCTCAGTTTTTGGGCCAGATAAAAGGGTAAAAACCTATTACTATATCTTGTTACTGGCAAAGGAGGTCTCATAATGTAAGTGCTTACCCGAGCTCTCAAAACTCTGATGGTGCGCTGTTTTTGAGTTGTACGCTTTTTGGCGTCTTCTGGTCCAACACCAATGGAGACTGGACTCTAAGAAAAGCCGTCTCGGGTGTGGACCAATCAAATTCAAGGACAGTGCATATTATCAGAGTTGTCTTTTTTGTTTGCATTTTGACTACTTGTGTTGTGGTTATTGCAACATGATCCCTTGTATAAAGGTGTCAGTTTTTGTGCCAGATAAAAGGGTAAAAACGTATTACTATAGTTATTAATGTATTAATAAATATATATTGCTGAACAACTGCACACGTCCAAATGTGTGGCTCGCAGATGAATAGCTCCGTCCATAGCAGAAACACCCGACTTTAATGATCTCTATTTGGCCATGAGCAGGCAGTGAACTCGGATCGCTGAGCTTCGTAACGTAGTGCGCTATCCACTGTGCCACTGCTCCCCACACGAAGTCGTACACAGGCGCACGTACATGCTGAGGGGAATCCCCGCCGTGTGATCAGTGCCCGCCTGCCCCCATAGCCACCCACCCACTCCTGACCCCCTCTCCACTTCCTCAGAGCTGCCCCACCCACACAGCAACAGCAGCAGCCCAGAATTCGCCGATCTCATCTGATATTAGCTAATGAGCGCGAGTCTGAATAGTGCTTGGATGGGCTACCATGCACACAGAATGCGGTCGACTCTCATGGGGCTGCATTGTCTCTGCATCTCTCCTTCCCCAATATCTACTTCTAGACGTGGTGAAGTATGATCAAATAACATCTCTCCAATGTGTGCGTGGGTTGTACCACGTGTTGTGGAGACGCAGAACAAAATTCCCTACATTCACTCCGCCCAATCTCGTTCTTGATGATGCCAGAGAGCGCAGAACGGCTCATCAGCGATGTCTTGTTCATGAATGGCCTCTACTCGAGGGCTTGTTTACAATTAATAAATTCCCCAGTGGTGGGAAGCCAGAATATCAGACTATTTTTTTCAGAATATGTATATATACTGCAGGAGAAATACTATGAGTTATAAAGCTCTTATTTACAGATGTCCAGGAGTGTGGGGCAGGCTGGGAGCGGGTGGCAAAGGAGGGGGGAGGGAGAGGGGTGGGGTCTGGGAGAAGCGTTTGAGAATGCCTCGACTGAGCAGTTGAGGGGTGACGTCACCGTGCTGGGGAGCATGCATGGTGACGTCACCATGCCAGGGACGGATAGCCCAGTAGCAGATAATTTGAAAAACTCGGACATTGTTAGATTCTCATCGGTGGTGCATTTTCTTTAATTGTTCATTAACATTGATATAATATTTTCTTGGTAGTTGGTGCAAATATTGCGCTATAATAAGGCGCTGTAGGCAGCTGACCTGCCACCACGCTCAAGGGCCAACAGGGGGCAGCCGAGAGAGAGCGAGGTGGGTAGGGGTTGACCGAAGGTCAAACCCCCGCCCCTCCGTGACCGGAGGTTGACACCCCAGACCCTCCCAGGGGCTAGGGGCTGAGGGGGATGGGGCCACCAACCACTTCCTAAGACCCCTTAAGAATTAAGACTATCTAAGACCTTCCAGAAGGTTATGGAGGGGGAGGGGGGGGTCATGAGGGGAGGTGTGACCCTGACCTGGATATAAAAGGCCGGCCCTCTGAATGGGCTGGGCAGTGTTCGCCATCTCAAGCTGGAAGACATCTGAAGACTTGAAGACTGTACCAGCACTCGGGAACCCTCAACCGAGGCTCTCGTTAGAGCCCATTGTAAGCGGACCCAAGGTAGCTCGGACACCCTGGACCCTCCCCAAAGCTCTTGCTAGAGCCAGGGTTGCAATGGACCAGAGCAAGTCCTGGACCCTGGGTGGGTCGGTCGGTCCAGTCTTCGCCTATCCTCCGTCGCAAGGGACCAGCGTGTAGTGTAGACCAAAGTGCGTAGGACACGCTAGAAGTTAGGCTGTCTCTCCCTTAGGCTATCGGGTGGAAGGGGCCGTACCCTTTCGTGTTACAGTAGTGTTTAATAGAGTTGTTAAGAGTTGTTTCAATAAATGCGTTGCCTCCAACTGACGCCTTTGTGTGGTTAGTTACAGACACAACACAAGTAAGAATTGGTCGTAATTTAATTGCACTCCCCATGATGCTCTCAGCTGGTAGTATCCCACACGTGTCAATAGGGGATGGAAGAGTAACTGAGTCCAGTATCCAAGGACTATGGCCTAAGGGACCAATGGTAACCCCAGACCACTGGAGGGGGCTGGGTATGACATCACCCTCCCAGGACCTGGTGGAAGGTTCTGGAAGAAAGGTGTGGCCGGGGCGGAGCGAGCCACGGACCTGTATAATAGCTGGACCTCTGAACGGTCCCGGCACTCGTCCACCCGAAGGTCAAGAGCGTACTGAAGAGAAGAGCCCAATGGTCTGAGCCGAACCCTGGCAAGGGTCGGCTCTAAGCTATACCAGTGAAGACTGAAGAGAAGAGCCCAATGGGCTGAGCCATACCCCTGGCAAGAGTCGGCTCCAGCTTATATACCAGTGAAGAACAAGCTTCACTCAAGAAGGCTTAGAAAAGACAGTGATAGGCGTATTAGTATGGAGAGACTACCTCAATGTATCGCCGTTACCCCTTTGTGTTAGGGATGTATTGTTAATAAAATACGTGTTGCCTCAGAGAGACTCTCCTCTAGTTATTGCCCCATTTCAACTGGCGTCAGCAGTGGCCAAGAATGGAAACTATAAGGAGACACTGTACCAGGTGCACGGGTGAAGACAACGAGGATTCACCTGCAGGGACGGCGAGCCCTGCGGAGGACGGCGAGGTGCTGCCGGCTGCTCAACAGCCGCCACAGCCATCGGGAGGATTGCCGACAGCAGTCGGTGCGCTCCAATATGCGCACTCCTGTCTTGCCGAGCTGCTCCATGCTGCGGCCTCCATCCTGGAGGAAATAAATTGCGGAGTGCCGATGGGAAAGGTAGTGGACGGAGCAGGCCCG